GGTGGCTGGTGCCAGCGGGCGTAGTTCAGAAGCCCCTTTTTTAAACCTTCCTAGATGCCTTGTGTGAATAGGGAGAGCAGGTCGATATCTCTGTCAGATGTCATTTCTGAACCTGATAAGCTTCATATAGGAGAATGCGAGGTGTTAACTAAGTAAAAAACCGGAAATAGAGAACCTTATTATAGCTTTTCTATGTCTGCCAAGAGAAACATTTCTCTTCTGCAAGTGAAAGAAGGGCACTGGAGGAAAACGAGTGGAAAATAGCTGCAGAGTTCTTGAGTACTTGATGCTGGGTGCATATACTAATGGCTCTAACCATTCTTCTTGTGCAGATCATATATTTGAAAAAGTAAATCCTGAGATGGAAAAGCTGGGATATGAGTGCAAGTGCCTTGGAGGAGGGAAAATTGATCATAATAGCAAAGACAAGAAACTTAGGGTATTTGGGCTCTCAACAGTAAGTGCATCTCTTGTATTCCTTCAAATCTTTTTGTCTTTGCTGTTCTGGGGTTTTTGGTTCATAGTTTTGTGGCTTTTGGCAATTTGAATTGCAGTGTAAACATAACTGGAAAACTTGCCTGGCTCACTTGTGAGATAAACTATAAAAACCCGCTAGTTTTAAGGGCAGGAGACCAAAGCAAAAACAATAGATAACTTGATGCTGAGTAATACCAACATTAATTTATAATACAGACTAAAAATAGAAATTAGCTTCTCTTGACTCAGAATCTTTTAGTCATAGTGCTAGAGCAGGAAGAGCCCATTTGTAACCACTGCGTCTTGATCCAGCTATTATGCAACTTTTATTTGCCAATGAGAATGTTGATTGGCAGTGACCAGCTAAATTGTGAATGTTGTTCTGTGTATGTGTTGGGTGAGAAGAGTATGCCCAGTTTAAGTGTGGTCAGTTTTAGTAGGTGAAGATGTAGTTTCACATAAATGCATTTTGTGGGAATAAAAGTAACTTCCAAGAATGTGGAAGCTAGATCATTTTTGCTACCTGTTCTGTGTAAGCTCAGTTTATGAAAAGACTCCGTAAGTGGTAATGATTTCTTGAATTTAGGGAACATGCTATAGCCTGTTTCTGGTGTTGCTCTGGGATGAGGCATAGCTGTTTCTGCAGTAATACTGTAAGTAAAGATTCTACCCAAGAAGAAAATAGTTCTATTAAGTTAATTGTTAATAGAAAGTGATGGTTATTTCAAATCTGTTCACCTCAGGTGAGCAGTGGAGGCTGAATGAAATGTGTTAAGTGTTTTTAAATCCTAGTGCTGCTTTTGTTCGAAGATGACTCTTGCCACCTGGAATCATAAGGAAAAAAAAACCAAACCAATTCTAGATTTGTGTGGGGTGAGAAAGCAGCATATAATGCTTATTCTGCTAAATTCTTGTGATTGTAGGCCTTCATGTGAACTGCTTTTTTTGATGAGACTTGACACTTGTATTACTCAACTGCCAATTTAGTGTCAAAGGCAGTAGTCAACTCCTGCTCTTGTAAGGTGATGTCTGTGGAAAATACGGTGCTTCTCTGCTTTTGGTACCTTGACACTTAGAGCTAAGCACCATGTAAAAGCAGGGGTTTATTACCATGATGGCTTCTGTCAGGCAGAGACCTGGAGGTTAAGAAGACCTGAGTAGCAGGGCAGAAGTTAGTATATTAATTACATTGATTTAGTGCTTCTCTGTACTTGGAGATTTGTTGTCAGACTCTAAACCAGAACTGTCCTGGTGTTTTATGAAAACCAGGGGAATAGTCATTTTCTTCTGAAGCTGATGCTGTGCTATTATTTCCAAAACTGGATAAGGAGTTTAAAGTGATTACCAAGGCAATCTGTAATCTGTAGAATCACAGAATGGTTTGGGTTGGAAAGGACCTTAAAGATCATCTAGTTCCAACCCCTTACATGGGCAGAGACATCTCCTGCTAGACCAGGTTGCTCTAGGCCCTGTTCAACCTGGTCTTGATCACTGCCAGGGATAGGGCAGCCACAACTTCCTTGGGCAGCCTGTGCCAGTGCCTCACCACCCTCACAGTAAAGAATTTCTTCCTTAGATCTAACCTAAATCTCCCCTATTTAAGTTTAACCCGTTACCCCTTGTCCTATCACTACAGTCCCTGATGAAGGGTAACAGTCCCTGTTGAAGAGTCCATTGCTTTACAACTGACAGGATAAACCTGCAATATTTCTGACATAAGTATATTATCTGGTCTTTTTGAAAAGTTTGCATTTTATAAGGCATCAATAATTTCAACCCGTAAAGTTTAAATGCTGGTTACTTAAGCTGTTCCTCTTGGGGTGGAGTCAGTGATGAGTAAGAGTACATGTTTTGTTTAATGCCACCTTGAGCTCTTTTTTCAGTCTTCCAAGTTAAGTTTCTCATGAAATATTACTGGAAAAAGAAGATGACCTGTAAATCACAGGGTTTTGTCAGTAGGCTGTGCTGTTGTGCAGTGAAGGCTTTTTGACAGCTAAAGCCTTACTTCTTGTTCTAAAATAAATCAAGGTGACTCCAGTCATATAAGACAATAATGGAAAGGCACTTTCTACCACAACTGTCTTAAATTTCAGTGAAAGAGTAACAATGTGATCAGTGATTTAAAAGAAGGTTAAAAATCACATGGGTCATCTGACCTTGCCTTAGTTTGGTGTTGCAGTGGGTAAAGAGCACAGATACTTAAAGTGATGGCATTACCATCTAAAGCAAGATTCCAAATAAATAAAACATTTAGACTGATTTCTTTAGTGGCTAGAATATTACTCAGATGTTTACATATGTGGTGGCTTATTCCCTTTTCTTTCAGCTGAGCAAAATCGGATATTTGTATGCTTATTCATTAGAGTGGGTCAATGCAATCTCTGTGGCTTAAAAGGACATCCAGTAAATATGGTGGCTGAAGGTGTGGGAACATTTTAGAACAAGTTTTCTGCTGGAGAAACTATGATGTGAAAAATATGCCCGACCCCCATCTCACTTATTTTTTACATCTCTGGTTGGGAGGAAATTGGAGAGGACAAGAGTTAAATAAAACACAATATGGCAAGAATAACTTTTAGAACCTATATTTGATTTGTATGTGAACTACTTGAAGTATCAAGTCATAATTGGATCATTTGTGTCAATGAGAACTGAATGTTTCTGTGAACTTACTTTCTGTACATGTCTAATAAGCATTTGTTCTTGCAGGGCTATGGAAAAGCAGATCATTCAGTGACTGTGGAGATACTGAAAAAAGCGTATCCAGATTATGAAATTACATGGTCAGATGACAAGAAATAAATTGGCTATTTATGAACAGAACAAAAACTGGTAACTCTATGAGCTGTACTTTAATAAATAAAATCAAATGTCTTCTATGTGTGTTACCATAAATCTGGAGTAGCTGGAGTGTGCTGTGATTTGTAATAAGGTTAGTAATCCCTGGATATATCTTATTTTTCAGATCATTCCTTTGTGCAGAATCTGCAGTTCTAAGCCTTTTTCCTCTCCTTTTGACATGCCATCTAATTAAACACTCCCACAGCATCTTACCTCCAGTTTGTTTTCATCCAGTGCTGTCTAACTGATATATTGTAGGATACATCAGGATTTTGCCATCCACTTACACACCACCGGACCAAACCTGTTCTACTTTTTTTGACCACAGTGTTTGCAGTTTCCTTTATTTTCTATTGCTCTTTGAGCTTTTCAGATTCCTTTTTCCACATTTACGAAAATCAGGGGAGGAAGGAGGGGGGAGGGTTGACTATTACAGTTCTTCATCAATGATCTAAAGCTTTGATTTACTCCATGGTTTTGAAAATTCAGTATTTGTGTTCCACACAAGTAATGATGGAGATCTTTTGTGTTCATGTGAGATCCTCACCTAGAGCAGACTGATGGCAATGTCAAATTCTGATAATGCTGATTCCTCTGTACTTTTATTCCCTGTGAGTAGGATACCTTTTTTTATTACTATTTTTCTGGAAATAATTATCTTATAGTTAATTACCTTCCTGCGAGAACCAGTACACCTAGGCAATGTCTGAATTAACTTACTGCATGTGTCATGGCAGGACTTTGCTCTTCATATGTTGTGAAGGTACTTGCTACAATTTTCACTTTTCTTGTTTTCTGCCAGTCTTCTTTTAATGCTGTTGAAGATTTCAAGGGAATATGCTTTGTTCTTATGCTTACATTGTTGACGTGCAGTCTTTAAGAGGTATTTCATCTAAATCCCAGTTCTTCCCTTTGTTGTTTCCTACTGCACTTATCTACCAGTATCTGATGGTATAGAGTGACTTTTCAATTTGCATGTGACTCTTAAAGTACAAACTGTGAAATCTGAGAGGCTTTAGTCAAGTTTCTGTCACAAAAAAAAAAAAAAGTCCTGCTGTTATTGGCTTAATACTGTAATAATCCATTGTATCTCACCCTTGTGTCTGATTTGATCAGTTGGGCAGAGCAAAAATTCTTGTACTTGTCCTCAAACCTTTCAGTCCATTCCTCATTAGAAGAGTTCCAGGTATCTCCATCTCAATCACCTGGGAGCAGGATCTCTTGAACCTGGTGCTACAGGTGTTGTGGTTGGCACCTGCTTTCCCCCACAAACAGCCTGGACTTTTCCCTCCAGCACCCTTGTGCACTTTTGCATCTGCTGTTTGTGCTTCTCTCTATGCTCTTGTATAGTAAATAATCTTCTGGCTGCAACACTTCAAATGCCATGATAACATTGATCACAGCTTTGTTTTTTCTGCACAGGATTTTGATTTCAGAATGTGATTAAATGCCTATGTATCTAGTAACCAAGAATAGCATATGAGTCAATAATTTGCAAATTAGGCACTTCCCACTTTGATTTTCCTCACGGGTTTTTTCCCCTAAGCTTTAGTGAAATAACTGTAACTGCCAGTATGCAAAACTGATCTTTTTAATAGCCTCATTTCCCAAAACTAGCAAATAATCTTCAAAGGGAAGTCATCGGTTAAGGATAGCGCCTGTTAAAACAAACAAGCTTTTTAGTTTAGTTTCCTGAGATGCTTTATGACTGATTTTAATGTTTCTCTCCGCAACAGTTACAGGAAGGACATAATTTAGACCGGATTTCTTACTGTGATGGCTCTTTCAAAGAGTGAGGGGGTGGGGTAAGGGGAGAAAAGGAGTGATGATTTGCCATGAGCTAATAAATTATCAGCTGACCTCCACCTTTGTTTCTTCATACAAGAAATTGGGCCTGTTGTTTTCTAATGCAGTGTAATTTGGGGAAAGACTAATTTCCCTAGCTATTAAGTAATATGTACAAGTACTACAAGTGAGTGAAAGATTTTTATTCCAGATCATGAAGAGAAGCAGGAAACTGGTCACTAGGGTGGTGATGATTTGGCAGGTTGAGAAAGCCTTAATGTAGATTTAGGAAACTAGTGTTGTTTGTTCTGTTGGTGTTCCAACATCAACTAGCCTACGAAACTTAAGTGTTGAATACTGCTTCCTCTCAGCATGTATGTGCTGAATTTTAAGACTAGAATAGAACTCATCTGGAATTGTGGAAATCCCAGTGCTAATTTTTCTGATTTCATCTGATAAAAATCCCCCATCCTCTGTTAATTCTCATCTGTAATTTTCAAATGGGAACTTTATACTGTGTGGGGTTCCCTGTTTTGCAGGTGTGCAGTCACTGTGAGATTGTGGCTCTTCATTTGAAAGTCTTAAAAAATCTAATTCTGTATTTGTACAAAAAGAGAGCTACTTTTGAGCAATCGAAGAATAAGATGAAGCTAGTAAAGGAGTTGTATATTAAACCCAAGACAGCAAGTTTTATTGAGGAGTATTTTCAAGAGGAAACACAGGAGATTTTAAGTGCCTTCGTTTACTCATCAAAAAATACACAAGATTCTTGTTCTTAACCGTATTTGTTGTCATAGTGGGCAACATTTCTTGCTGCAGGTACTGTTCTCTGAAACAGCACTAGACCTGGCAGGTGCAGAAAAAACTATTCAGTCACTGGCTAAGCCATTAATTGTCTTACACCTGAGGTCCGAAAAAATGGCAGGTGCTAGTCGCTTTGTTTCCAACTGTTTCCAGTTTTGACAAAAAAGAACTGTTAACAGTACTGTATTGACCTGACAGAACTAAAACTCCTTTTTTTTCCTCAATCCGTACTCAGCAGTTATCTATCATTGGTAAGTTTCAGAGTTAATGCAGAAAAATTCCAAAGCGCAATCACATCCGTGGCACAACTGACTTTTTTCCCTTTTCTCCTATAAAAAAGCAACCTCAGCAGTTTCCAAAGCATCCCTTTAAAATGGTCTACTTATAATTGGTTTTGAAACAACAGTAAAGTCTCTTCTGTAGAGTACAGGAAATCCTCTGTGACTCTACCTTAATAGAAACATGGACAAAATAGGAATCTTGCAGTAGACTTTCAGAGTCTTCAGTGACAGGAACTTTATGCAATAATTAAAGCTATTTAGGTAACTGCTGTACTAAGTTTCTTTCCACCCTGTCAGACTGTTGTCCGTTCTCCCCTACACTGAGTATCCTTAGATCTAGTCCACTGCAGTGGTTGACTGTCTCTGAGTTTGTATTTATGCAAGGGCACTCAATAAGGCAGTGCATCATGATAAGCAGTAGCTTTGATGTACATGTTAAAAGTTGTGTAATAGCTTGTCCAGTTTTGGTTAAGACAAAACATGCAATGGATTTTTTTTGTGTGAATTGTTGGTGACACCAAGTGCTCAGGATCAGGTTTTATAGTTCTTTGGGGTTTTTCAGTTTTGGTGAGAGAATTTCTTAAGCAACGTTAGTGTCTTTAGCCTAGGACACGGGAATGACTTGTATCCAGGCTTCTCTGAACACTTGCTGCCCTGTCAAACAGCTGGAAAGAAGAGGAACTGTTAGTGTTTAGTAGTGCCCCCCACCCCCAAGTCTTGAAAATGGGTCATAGTGTATGGGCAGTTAATTTCCAGCTATCACCTAGTGCTTGGTTCTGTCATCCTTCAGTTTCCTGGACTGCATTTGTGGGTTTGTTGGTTGTTGAAAGGAACTTCTCTTTTACAGAATCTTCTTTCAATTCAGTTTCTAAACCAGAAATGTTTTATTTATTTCTGAAAACAATCTTTTTCCAGTTATTTGCTGAAATTTTCTTAGAGTGGCATGTCAAAATCTGAACGTGAAAATTCAGACCACAGTAGTAAATGTTCTCTGGTACAGTTTTTCAAAGGCTTGAATAAAAGTCAATGTGTGTGTTACATACGGAAACACTACAAAGATTTGTGAGATTGCTAGCAGAATAGAAGGCAAGTGATAAATACAGTCACATCCCCCTCTGGTGGCAAAGCAGCAGAGCACGCAGGCATGCAGTCCAGTCTGAAATCTTGATGCTGCAGTTAAACCGCATGAGTTGGCAGCCTCACTGCCGGGAGCTGCTTCTCCCACTACACGAGGATGATAAACGATCTCGTTGAGGCTGCACTCAGCAGCCACTCTTGTGACTTCCAGTTGTGGCACTGCCAAAACATCCGAGTCAGGGACGGGACAGTGACTTGCTTCATTTTAAAATACACATAAATGATAATTAATTGGCATAAACAGACGTGGGTCTACGCAAAATTAGACTCGGAAGAATCCTTCACTTCTAGTCAGACATCAGAAGTTTTCAAACATCTCAATAACGAGCATCCTTAATCTGTCAAACCAGAATACCTCAACAGAGGAAAAAGCAGAGACATGAGGAATAGAACATTTTGTCTTTAATATATTTTTGAAGGACCAGTGGTTGAATTTTAACTGGAATCTTTAAAAGCCATTTCCACAATACACCGCTGCAGTCCTTTATCTGTTGTTTTAACTATGCTGGTCCTAAACACATTTCTCTCTTCAATTAAGTTCTCGAAGAGGGGAATACCACCACCAACCCCAAAATAATGTACTTTGCTTGCCAAATACACACGGCCATTTTTATCCAAGAGCTGAGCTAGTGTGTCATGCAAAGCATCGTAGTAGTCAGGATTATAGATAGTCTCAGATGTGAGTATTATATCATACTTTGAAAAGGGTTTGTTGCTGCTTAACAGGAGCCGGCTGACTTCAGACCACTCTCCTGAAAAAAATCTGCATCTTGTGAGCATGTTGGGTGGGTGCTCTGCTTTCTTGGGCCTCTTTGAAGGAGGCTGGCTAGTTTTAGTGTCACCTCCACTGCCTGTCCTTACGCAGTTAGCCACTGCATTAGGCAAAGTTATTTCGTCAATCACTGTGCTGTTATAGTCCTGAAAATGGACTTTTTTAGCTTTACCCCTTAAAGCGACTATTCCCAGCAGACCAGCCCCACAGCCAAGATCCAATACAGTCTTGTTGGTGAATTGTATTTCAGCCTCGGAAAAGTAGTCTATGAGATCAAAGGTGCATTCCCAAATTTTCAGTCCTCCCTCATAGACTCCTGGGATCAGATCAGAATGAGAAGAAACACTTTTAGACACAATGCCTTCTTTGTCAGCATCACCCAAGCATGTCATTTCCACTATAGACATGTTTCTGTAATACAGGCCTGATACTGTTTTCATGACTTTATTTTCCAATACTTTGTTGAGATCTTCAGGTATGTCATGCTCCTTGGCAGCTTTAAAGCACAAATTTTTCTGTGATGGTTTCTCATCTTGGAAATTATTTGTACCCAGCCTCGGGCTGGAGTCACCAACAGTGTCAGCAGCTTGCCTACTTTTTTCTGTGGATTCCTGCTTGTGTTTTGGAGAGTGCAGCTGTACGTCCGTTTTATCGTGAGTGTCTGCTTCATTGTTGTCATATTCATCAATAGAAAAATTAAATTGAAAAGCCATTTTCAGGAATAGCAGTAACAAAAATAGCAGTCAGCTTAATTTATTACAGCCAGAAACAGTAATCCCAGAGCAATACTGATATAAAAAGCGTTGTTTTTCTCCATTTTTTTCTGTAGAGGATGTATTTATGAACTTACTGCTATGGGGAAAAGTGCTTTGCAGGTAGAATCTCAGATGTTTTGCCAATGAATCGGGTGAGAATTACTTCTGGAAATGAATATTTTTACATATCATTAAATTGCCAAGTACTAGCACAAACAAACTGTCTAACTGTAGCACTTTAATTTGCATTAAAAAAACCCCAAACAAAACAACACAACCCCCCCAAATAAACCCCACCTTCTAAACATTTAAATGTATAAAAAGTTACCAGTGACCTCATCTCTGACGTAATGCAGGTATAGGCACAGGTTGTTAAGGCCCAACTTCCGTTCCCTGCACTCCGGCTGAAGCATGCAGGTCGGATAGGAGGATCCGGCCCCAGTTTACCCACTCTGTGCCCCCCGCGATGCTGCTGTCTCCCGTTCCCGTACCGACCCCTGGCCGCGCTCCCCTCCGCTTACCCTCACGTGGCTCGGCTTCCGCGTAGGCTGAGCGCATGCGCGCCCGCGGTGAAAAGGGGGCGGGGCGGGCGTGGAGGATGCTGGGATAGCGGAAGTAGTTTTTTTCCCGCCGCCGCCCGGCTCTGAGGCGGGTGTAGTTGGCGCTATGTCTCAAACAGATCTGGAGTTGTTTCTGCAAGAGCTGGGAGGCTGGGACTGGGACCTCTGCCGCAGGGAGCTGCCCGCCGTCCTGCCCCGGCTCCTTATATCCTTCTCGGGAGGGCGGTTCGGCTGCTGGGTGCTTGCGGGGAGCCACCCCGAAATGGTGTGTGTGGGGGGGTGAGGGTGTTCGTCCTGCAGCTTTGCGCAGTTTAAGCAAATAAATCCCTGTGCGGGAAAGTGCTGCAACCTTTGTAAGGGGCTAGCACAGGACAGAAAACTTGTGTGTCGGCTTTTTCGCTGGAAACGAGTACAGCCGATCACTGAAATAAAAGATACAGGGTAGAAAATAGCATGTGGTTATTCAGTAATGTGTGTAATTCCCCCTCACCCTCAAACTTCAAGACTTGTTTGCCAGTGCACTTGAAATACTTGTGCTGATCGTGCGGGTACTGAGGTCTATCTACCTGTATTGGTTGTGGAGTATCCCCACCAATTTCGTACGGTGGATGAAATGTACATGGAACAGTGTGAGAGAAGTCACTGTGTCTTCTGCAGAAGCTTTAAACAACCTTTCTGGCAGAGAGATTTTGAGTTTCTTTAACATTTTCTTACTCTGTGTATCAAGAGTCTGAAGACTGGAATGAGCATATTCGTAAGTAGTGACCAAGAAGTGCCTCTTCTTCCTGTAGATCATTGTATTGCGGTTGTCTTATAAAGTTTGCACTACTTAAAAATGCTTATGCTATAACTAGTGACATTCGTGATCTTCAGCAGTCTTGCTGGATCTTGCATGTTATGTGAATTGCATGTTGAATAAGCTTTATAAAAGCCCATAAAGAACCTATGCATGTAAGGCTGCTTTTTCATTCCCACAACTTCTGATTTTTAGATCTTTGAAATAAGGGTGCTTTTTATCTTGTATTTCACTGTCTTTTTGGTCATTATCTTACAAGCAGCAAAACTCCTGTAATACCTGATAGTGATAAGAAAATGAGGCTGATATTGTATTAATGCTAACTAACATGTTAAATATGCAGCTGTCTGCAGTTTGGAATATGGGAAATTTTAATTCCATGGACAAACAATTGTGCCCAGCCTTCAACTAAGTGTAGTCAAGTGTGATGCTATTATTGATGTGTTTATGCACGTTGGAGCTATTATTTCTCAGATAATGCATTTGTGGCAAATGTGTTGCCTCTCTTTGGGGCTGTTCAGCCTGGAGAAGAGAAGGCTGTGTGGGGACCTCATTATAGTCTTCCAGTATCTGAAGGGGGCCTATAAGGATGCTGGGGAGGGACTCTTCATTAGGGACTGTAGTGGTAGGATGGGGGGTATTGGCTTTAAACTTAAACAGGGGAAGTTTAGATTAGGTATACAGAAGAAATTCTTTACAGTGAGGGTGGTGAGGCACTGGAATGGGTTACCCAAGGAAGTTATGAATGCTCTGATCCTGGCAGTGTTCAAGGCCAGGTGGGACAGACCCTTGGGTGACCTAGTGTGAGGTGTCCCTGCCCATGGCAGGGGGGTTGGAACTAGATGATCTTCAGGTCCTTTCTAACCCAAACCGTTCTGTGATTCTATGATTCTGTAATGCTTAAATATTTTGCTTTGCAGGTGTTTTGAGGATCCTGACTGAAATGTTTTTGCCCCATATCAGCCTTGCTGATTTGGAACAAACTTTTTTCTCAAAAGTATTACCTAAGGTATGACAGTTGCAACTAAATGTGGAATTTTTGGTCAGTCCAGAGCTAAAACCTGCATAGAATGCAGTGATTCTTTTTTGAGGTTACACAATATAACTTGGAATTAAAATTTTACACTTTGAAAGTTCCAACAATTTTTGTTGGATTGTGTTGTGGTTTAAACCACAACGGATTGTTTCTGTGATTGTTGCCACTCTTTACAGTGGGGAGAAGGTTGAACATGCAGTGTTCTACTTTCTAGATTCAGTAATTGAATTGTTCTTTTGAGAAGATTTGGCTTTTTATAAAATGAGCTGGAGAATTTTACATGAGGTAGCCTCTTGGGACAAATAAACTGAAGAACCCCACATTTACGTGTCATGAATATATGTGAAATTTGAGAGTAATATAGTGAATACAGTTTTAGACCATACTGGCGTAACATATGCTCTCCTTTTTAGCTGAAGTAAAGCAATGCCAAATTACTGATTTAAATTTCAGACCTCAGCTTGTATCTTTTAAGAAGCCAGTAAAAATAGCCACTTGTTTTCCATTTCACCTATTTTATGTCCTGTAGCAAATTTTGGAGATTACAAGAAAAATGGCTCAGAACAGGCATATTCTGAAAAAGGATTATTGTACCCTACCAGTTTATGTAGTGTCTCACACATGCCTGGAAGCACCTCAGTGTCTTCGTAGTCTCAGCAGAAGCGCTCATCAAACATCCAGGGACCTCAACCAAGGAGAAATTATTGTTGTTTGTAGATTATAGTGTTATTTTTTTATGTTTTCAAAATGTAAGACCTTTTTAAATGATACGGTTTTAACTAAGTAAAAAAAAAAAAATCATCTTTGGTAGGATGAGGTACATACTTCAAGTGAATTAGCTGGGAAGTTTGTCTTTTAACAGCTTTTTAGAAAAAGTAACAGCTCCTGTAGCTGCTGCCTGTAATTTGGGAAAACCATAAGGCAGGTTTTGCTTCTTGATATACAGTGCTTTGTGATTCCAGTGCTAGAAAGTACTATTTTCTCCCATGTATTATGTCAGTAGCCTGTGACTCCATGCCAAGGAAGCAAGTAGATACAAAATGGTATTAGTATTTCCATGTGTATGTTTCTAAATAAAATGTTTAAGTTTGTTTTTGTTTTGACAGACTCTACAGTTATTTGATAATTTGATGTATGAATTATCCAGTGAGGCCAAAGGATTAACCAGCCAGAATACAGAGTTACACAGTACTGTGAGGAATCTTCTACAGGCAAGTCCTGTGAAATAAGTTACCAAAGGAATGTTTACATTATTCTTTGATTTTACCTAAACAGTTAAGAGACTTCTAGTATATTTTTTGTCAGTGTTAAGCAGGCAGCTAAAATGTAACTTGATCATCCTTTGCAGTTGAAGTTCAGTTAACATTTTGTGCATGATTTGATTACATCTAGCATGTGATGCTAACTGTAATTTAAACCCACTAAATCCTAACACTCAAATTCTGCTTAAGTTTCTAATGCAAATGGAATGTGATTCTCCATATTTAAAGAGTGACTCTATCACCTATTTATATAGTCATTTAATCCTGAATTTTAAAATGTTTGGAAATTCAGAACAGTAGTCAGTAGAAGTATGAAGCTTTCAAAGACTATATGGTATTGGAGAAAAGCTCTGGAATTGCTTTTATTATTTTATAGAGCTTCATTCATCCTTAACAAACTAATTTGTGCAAGTATCAGTGAACTTTAAATGCCATAAAACCCTAGGTGCAATTCAGCTAAGGAAAGATGCTTTTCAAATCATTGCAGGAGTGAAAAACATTCATTGTTGTTGTTTATTCTTGCTTTAAGACTCTGGTGCAACTGTTGGAGACTCTGACCAGTTGTGTACGATACGTCTGCAGGCTGCAGGAGTAGAAGTGAACCCGCTCCCTCCCAGCCTCTGTTCTTTATGTAATAAAGAACACATTTACACACTGCAAGGTAGGTCTGTGTTAGAAGGAGAGAAATTCTTACAGTGGTTGGCTTTTAGGAAGCACTTTATAAGATGATCCTATTTTGAAATAATATTGTTGTTTAATATATATT